ATATATATATATTTTCCCCCCAACCTATCTAGGAATTTTCCCTCCCCTCCCCTCCCTTCTCATCCCTAGTAACCAACAAAGAAAGTTTCCTTCCATCTATAAAACTTCCCTTGACTTTTTGCAATAGTGGACTGATACAATATTTGTCCTTCTGTAATTGCCTTGTTTCACTCAGCGTAATGTCCTCCAAGTTCATCCATGTTATGCGGTGTCTTGCAGACTGCACTCCATAGTTTTCAGTGATTGATTTTGTGAAAGTAGATCACCAGGCCTTCTTCCCATGTGCTGCTGGGTGGACCTGAACCCCCAGCCCTTCAGCTAGCAGCCCAGTGTACTAACTGGTGCACCACTCAGGGGCTGCTCCCTGACTAGATGGGGAGCTATTTAGGGGCAGGGCTCCAAACCCCAGCATCATTTCCTTAAGATTTTCAGGTGGTAAAACAATCAGTATCTCTAGTCAGGTTTTCCACCTATAGAACAGTATGTAAGAGGCTTCATTTTATAGAGGAGAGGACTGAGGCCCAGGGAGTTGAAGGCAAGGCTGAACCCAGCCTAGACCTTCAGACTGCATGGTCTCTTCCTGGATGCTACTGGCATCTTGCTCATTTCATATTAGTGCAGGGTGGGCAAGGAGGTGAGGAATGTCAGAGGTAGATCCTGCCCTGAGGGTTATACACTGGGGGCTGGGGCCAGGAAGCATCTAGGCAGCTTGTTCTGGTTCCCTAGTACCGCTCTGACAAGAATATACTGCAGTGGGATGGCTTAAACAAACAGGAGTTTATTCTTACAATTCGGAGGCTTTAAGTCTAAGTTCAAAGTGTCAGGCTCTAGGGGCTGGGTGAAAGCCCCTCAACCTTGGGGACCAGCTCTGCCTCCTGCTCCTGGCCCACTGGAGCTAGAGGCATTTCTTCACTCAGACAGTTGTAGGCTGCTGAGGCTGTGAAGCCCCAAGGTTGACAAGTAAAAAGGCACAGTCCTGACATTACCAAACCACATGGCAGGCCATTAACCTAAGTCCATTTTAAGTCCCAAGGTTGGCAGAGCATAGCAGGCTGCTGAGCAACGACACGGCTACATGCAGGGTCCAAGCAGGGTCCAAGCGTGCTATAGGCTAGAGACCATTCTCAAAGCTTCTCCTTACATACAGGAAGCAGACCACATCCCAAAGGCAGCTACTTAGCTGCTTGTGGTAGATCCCACCATGGAGTTGATTGCCAGTCTCATCATGGGGAATAACTACCACCAGCGGCCCAGCCACTCATCCAGGCCCAGCCAAGTTGACACACAAATATAACTACCACACAGCTTGTGGATGCTCTCCCTGGAAGATGGTCTTAGGGGCAAGAGGTACTCCCAGCACTGCCAGTGGTACTTGGAATGTAGCTCAGAAGTCAGAAAGTGTCTGTTTGGGTATCATTAGGGAATTCTATCTGGCAGGGGTAGGGGTAGTATCCAGAAAGCTAATATTTACCCAGCTTTCAGCCTACTTTTCCTTGTTACCCCACAGCTGCAACACTTCCTGCCCCTTTGGCTTCCATGGAGACAATTGCTCAGTGCCCTGCCAATGCCCAGAGGGGCCCTGCCACCCTGTCTCTGGGACCTGCCAGCTTGGTAAAGTAGAGGGAGTATGTGTGGTGTAGTGACCGTGGCTGTTTGCATAGGCTCCAGGTCCCTTCACTTACCTGGGAGACTGGTCCACTTTATAGACATCCCCTATGTTTAAAGTCGGGAGCTCTGGTAGCATAGTGCCTAAGGCACTTGACTGCTAACCAGAAGGCTGGCGGTTCAACCCACCAGCCACTCCTCTGAAGGAAGGTTGGGCAACCTACTTCCGTTGTGATAAGCGCCTGCCTCCTGAGAAACCAGGCTAGAGCCCAGGCAATGAGTGGGCAGGACTGGACACTGGGATGTGCATCTGGCATGAGAACTCCTAGTTCTCCTAGAACTGTGAGGGCAAGAGTCTACGGAATAGGCCACGGCCATGAGGAGGGGGCAAACTAACAAGGAGCCTGCCTGGATGAGGGGGAGTCCACATGTCACAGAGGGGGAGGAGGGACCCACAGGGAGGGGCAGCTCAGAGCTAAAGATCAGACATGCTGTGTGGAAGGCGCGATGGCCCTGGACACGTGGCCTCTCCTGTCGCCCCAGGCCTTCGCGGTCAGGATGCTGCCCTCATCGCGGGCATCCTGGTGCCTCTGCTGCTGCTGCTCCTGGGCGTCGCCTGCTGTGCCAGCTGCTGCTGGGCCGCCCGCCTGGACCCCAAGGACAGGTGAGCACTGCTTGCCTCTTCCCACCATCCAAGGCAGGCCATGGGGTGCGTGCAAGGTGGCATCTGGTTTCCTTTCTGGGTGGGAAAGGGTTGGCCTTGTCCCATACTCAGATAGTAGGTGTAGAGGTTTCTCAGAAGCCTTGATGGGGGAGTTTTTGAGCTACATGAGCAGAAGGGATGGGGTACCAGGAAGGTGAACCTCAAACCCACAGCAGGAAGCTGAGGATTTATTAATGGAGACCCAAGGAGAAGGAGGAAGACGGGGAATACAAAAGTAGCAGCACAGCTTGGGACAGGGAGAGGAAGAGACCAGGCTCCAAACCCACTAAAAACAAGAGTGACATGTGGAACAAACTCAAAAAAAAAAAAAAAGACTAGGTCTGCTGGTCTGATAGAGCCTGGTGAGACCCCTGAGACTATGGCCCCTAGTTACGCTTCAGGTCTGGAACTGAACTCACTCCTGTGGCTTCCAGCCAAACAATAGACAGGTATTTGGGGTAAACATTTACACCAGGTAGATACCTCCTTAGAACAGTCCATCATGGGAGAAAGAAGGGCAGTGTTTGTACAGGGAGATAGCTCGGGGGCAGGAATGCATGGGAAAGGACACAGGGAACAGGTAACCACAGGGAGAAAATGAGAAGAGAGCTGTTACATTGTAGGGAATTGCAGTCAATGTCAGGAAACAAAATGTGTAGGAAACAAAATGTGTATGAACTGCTGTATGGAAAATGAATTTGCTCTGTAAATTTCACCCAAATCACAATAAAAATTTTATAAAAGAAAAAAAAAAGAGTGACATAAAAGTTATCTCAGAGGGGCAGACTCAGTTGCCCCTCCCCTGGGGCGTAGAGCCAGGGTGGGGATGGGGGTGGAGGGAGGAGCCCCTCACACAGACATGAACACAGGATATGTGTAAAGGCTGTCAGAGGAATGGGAAGGAGTGGAGCAGTCACTTGGGGATGGGGAGAGTGGGGCAAAAGTGGGCTTTGAGGACTTCTCTCTATGTGCCTGGCACCATGGTGAGTCCTGACAAAGCTCTGATATATAGGAGTTTTCCCTTCTTACAGATGAGGAAATGAGACGCAGAAAGGTTAAGTCCAAGCCAGAGTTGGAACCCAGGTCTGACTCTAGAGCTGCACTGTCCTCTGTGGCAGCCTGTATCTTGGGCTAAGTAGTCGAGATGTTATTCTGTAGTCAGCAGGAAGAAGCCATTGAAGGGTTGGGGGCCAAGGAATGATGTGATAAAAGGAAGATGTAGTCACCCAGTCACTGGGCCTCCTTCACAGTGACTCCGGGACCAGGATGGTCCTGGCCCTTTCCTCTTGCCCTCACCCTACTCCCACAAAGAATAGCCTGGACTGACCACCCTCCCTACCCCCTCAGGCCTACGAGAGATGGAGCTGCTGTGTCCAGGGTGAAGCTGCAAGTATGGGGGGCACTGACCAGCCTTGGGTCTGTGCTGCCCTGTGGTTCCCTCAACAGCCACAAGTTACCCTGGGTGACAGGTAAGTGGCAGCTGGGGGTCAGGGGCTGGATGGGACAAGACTTCCAATCAGGCTTTGCTCCTGACCCGGTGCCCCCTACAGTCTCACACCACGACCCTGAGGTCCCCTTCAACCACAGCTTCATAGAGCCGCCTTCTGCTGGCTGGGCCTCCGACGACTCCTTCTCTTCTGATCCTGAGTCTGGCCAGGAGGATGAGGGTCCTGCCTACTGTGTGCCACCCCAAGAAGGTAGCCCCTGAATGACCCATTTGACCCCTGGGAAGCCTTGCCCATCACCACCTCTTTCTCATTCATTCAGCAAAGAGCCTATTTACCAAGAGCCTATTCTATGCCAGTCACTTTTCCTGGCTCTGGGACATAGTAAGGAGTAAGATAGATAGATTCCTGCCCTCACCAAGCTTATATTCTGGTGGGCAGAAAGATAAGAAGTCAGTTATAGGACAGAATGGTATGACTTTTGATGGGGAACATAAGAGAAAAGGCTCATAATCTAGTCATCTAGGTGATCTGGGGTGATTGGAGTCAGAAGAGATGTCCCAGTGTTAGTGATATCTGAAGTGAGTCTGATAGAATCGGTAGACGTTAGCCAAATAAATGTTAGGACCAGGTGAGAATGGTGTTTTAGGAGGAGGAAATAGCATGAACAAGGGCACAGAGGTGAGAGGGACAAGGCTTTGCTGCATTGAAAGAATCTCTGTGTGGCTAGACTATGGCCTTAGCTCAAGGTGGGGGGCAGGAAGAGAAGAGTGTAGGAGTAGCAGTAATACCTGAGCAAGCCCTTCCCCTGCCTCTCTGTGCTTCCTTACCCTCTTCCTTGCCCCAGTTCTGAGGCCCCCTGGAAGATGCTAAACTGGTAAGTAGGATGGGTTGGGGTCACCAGCCCAGCTCTGGCCAAGAACCTCTCTTCTGCCTCCTTTACCAGGGATGGCCTCTGTGGCCCAAGTGGAGTCACCAGAGGCCAGCCTGGCTGCAAGCCCTTTTCCTCCCCCTGAGGATGCCTCTACACCATTCGCCATCCCACGCACCTCCAGCCTAGCCCGGGCCAAGCGGCCATCGGTCTCCTTTGCTGAAGGCACCAAGTTTGCACCACAAAGTCGTCGGAGCTCAGGGGAGCTTTCCAGCCCACTCCGGAAGCCCAAGAGGCTCTCTCGGGTGGGTCAGCCGGCTCCTGAGGGTCAGGAGGCTGAGGAGTCCACAGGCCCAGAGCCAGCAGAAGCAGACAAGGCCCCTCCTGGCGCTGCCAGCCCCAGGGACTCAGCGGTAGGCCGCCGGCAGCTCCCTCTTGGAGGCCGGACAGTGGCCGAACGTGTAGAGGCCATTGAGAGCAGTGTGCAGGAGAGCTCGAGCCCTGTGTCCACCATTTACATGCTGGCAGGGACGCCCCAGGGATCTGAGGGGCCTGTCCGGTCTGTTCTGCGCCGTTTTGGTAGTTTCCAGAAAGGCCAGGCAGAGCCCAAGGTCAGGAGTGCCATCCCCAAGCCTCCACGCAGGGCCCTGAGTCGGAACAAGGGCAGCCCCGGGCTGGCCTCTGGTTCAGCTAGCCAGAGCCCTTACTCAGCCCCGTATGAGGAGCTTGCAGGGGCCTTGGAATCTGCAGGAGCGGGGAGAGAGGAAGTGGCCAAGGGGGTAGGGGATGGCACCGAGACCCCAGGGATGGCCCAGGAGCCGGGCGCTGGGGGTGGCCTCCCAGAACGGGATCCCCAGAAGCTGGCTGAAGAAGAGGTGCAGGAGGAACCCCAGTATGAGAATGTTGCACCCATCGCTGGGCCATCAGAGCCCTGAGGACCTTGATTTTGGGAAGACTGGGGACTATGGAAGGGGGACACCAGGACTGCCATTAGGTCATATTGCAATTTGTGCTGAGAAATGATCCCAGGGTGAGGACAGACATGTCACAGCCTCTGCCCCTTCCATAAGGACAAATCAAAGGTTAGAGGCCAGGGTTGGCCCCGGGTCCTGGCAGAGCTCCTGGAATGGGTCTGGCAGGCCAGGGCAGAGACCTGCAGGGTAGGGTCACGGAGGGGAGGATTTCTTATGATAGATTACTACACAACATGATTTTTAGTAAATCATGTTACTCAAACATATTCACGATGAGAGAGTATGTTCACGCTGTTCTGTGCCAAAGGTACAAATTTGGATATACAGTACAGTTCCACTGTCATTTTATAAAGTTACTTTTTGCCTCAGGATACATGTTTTGAATTCTCCCTTTTTGTATATGTTTTATGAATATTTCACAAGCCTTTTTTTTTTTTTTTAAAGGATAGATGTGCATAAAAAGCTTTGAGGGAAAGGCATCAAATGGTAGTTTTCTCTGGGAAGTGAGATTGTGGGTGATTTTATTCTTGTCTTTAAACTTTCTTATCATTTACAAATTTTCTACAGTGAGCCTTCTTTTACTTATTTTTCACCAGATTGAGTTTTATAAAATTCAAAAATTTTTTATAAAAATTAATAAAAGTGATACATACTCTGTGTTAAAAATGAAAAGGACTTAGCATTACAGAAAGGACCCCTGGTGGTGCAGTGGTGAAGCACTGGGTTGCTCGAATCCACCAGCCACTGCAGGAGAAATGACTTGGTGATCTACTCCCGTAAAGATGACAGCCTAGGAAACCCTGTGGAGCAGTTCTACAGTGTCATATAGGATCACTGTTGTTGTTGTTGTTGTGTGCCATCGAGTCAAACCTGACTCATAGCGACCCCTCCTTGGGTTTCCAAGGCAGTATCACTACAGAAGTAGGATTGCCCAACCTTCCTTCCGAGGAGTGGCTGGTGGGTTTGAACTGCCAGCCGTCTGGTTAGCAGGCAAGTGTCTTAGCCACTATGCTACCAGAGCTCCCTATAGGATCACTGTGAGATGCAATTGATTTGATAGCACCCAGCAATAACATTATAGACAAGTATAAAACAAAACAGTTCCCTTCTCCCCAGAGGCTGTCTGCATGACAAAGGAGGGACGAGACTGACTGTTCAGTGCCTCTTGACCTGGTTTGGATTCTTTCTCCACACTTGTATTACCTAAAACACACTGCCTTCCAGTTGATTCTGACTCAAAGCAAGACCCTGTAGGGCAGAATAGAACTGGCCCATAGAGTTTCCAAGACTAAATCTTTACAGAAGCAGACTACCTCATAGTTCTTACAGGGAGCAACTAGTGGGTTCGAACCACCAACCTCTTGCTTAGCAGCTAAAGGCTTTAACCACTGCACCACCAAAGCTCCTTTGTATTAGCTACTTAAAAAACATCACTTTCTAGCCTAGTTCTCAGAGAATCTCATTAACAGTCTAGATACTTTTTAAATGCTTTTCTATAAACGTGTAAAATTATTTAAAAGAAAAGCAAAAGCATACTAAGCTTCACATTTCTGTTACTTAATTTTGTTACTCAATTAACCATATAATGTGGATATCTTAGGATGTCATTATAGAGCTACCTCTTTTTATAAAGCCTGGCTACACGGGATTCCATCGTATGGAAGTAATACAGGTTATTTAAACCATCCCCTACCTATGACAAGCTGTTCCTAGGTGGTGCATACAGTGAAGTGCTCAACTACTAACCCAAAGGTGGATGGTTCTAACCTAGCCAGAGCTGCCTCAGAAGAAAGGCCTGGTATTCTGTTTCTGAAAGGTCAGAGCCTTAAATAAACTCCACAGAGGTCGGTTCTACTCTGCAGGCCTGGGATCTTTAATGAGTCTGAATCCAGCTCCTGGCAATTAGTTTTATTTTCCCCCATAGGGACAGTTCAGTTGTTTCTAATTGTTTTGTTACAATAAACAATGATGCAATGTACATATTTGCAACTTTGTATTTCTTTTACTGTAGATGTTTTTCTGCAGATTAGATTCCTAGAAGTACAATTGCTAGATTATAGGGTAAGAACAGGAAACATTTTGATACTTACTCAAAGTGCTCTCCAAAAAAGTTGAATGAATCTGTGGCCTTACAAATATGGAAGTACCCATTTCTCCACACCCAATCTGGTAAGTTAAAAATTGTATCGCATTAGAATTTGAATTTCTATGATTATTCTAAAGTTGAGCTTTTTTTCATATCTTTAATAACCATTTGTATTTTTTCCTGTAGATTACTGGTTATATTCTTTCCCCATTTTCAATTGAGGTGTTCATCTTTTTAAAGTGATTTATTTTTTTATTTTATTTTATTTTTTTTATTAGGATTTGGGTGAAGATTTACAGAGGAAATTCACTTTTCATACAGCAGTTCACATACACTTTGTCTCATGTCATTGACCAAAATTTACAATGCAGCAGCTCCCTTCCCACTTCCTCCCCATAGTTACCTCCTCCCAGTGTCCATCCCTTCATACTCTTCGAGAGGCCCATTGTCTGCCAACCCTGTATATGATCTT